TCAGGGAAGTGCCTACAAGGCTCTTGGTACTTGGCCTCTTCTTCATTCATCAAATAAAACAGGTACTTACTCTATTGCACAGTGTTTATAATAAAGGATATTTGAAAGCTATCCAGATGCCAACTTGTTGGGGCTTTGTTAACTATGGCATGTTACCACAATGAAACACTGAGTTAGAAAAAGGAAGTACTCTCTATAACCCAAAATGGAAAGATTCTCAGGGCATACTGTTAAATAAAAAAAGCAAAGTCCAGAACAGTATGTATAATATGCTGTCTTTTGTATCAGAAAAGGGAAAACAGAACATTCGTATTTGCACTTGTTTATTTTGCACAAAGAAACATGAAACTAAGTATTGTGGGAAAAATAGGTGGGGTACGAAAGAGGATGGGGTGAAGTTGGGATGGACGTAAGACTTTCCAATCTGTTCTTTTCACATATTTTTTTCTTTTTAAAAATATGATTGTATACCTATTCAAAATTTTTATTTTAAATATAATAAAATTTAGGGGCGCCTGGGAGGCTCAGTTGGTTGGGTGTCTGCCTTCAGCTTGGGTCATGGTCCTGGGATAGAGCCCCTCTTGGGGCTCCCTGATCAGTGGAGAGCCTGCTTCTCCCTCTCCCTCTGCTGCTCCCCTTGCTTGTGCTCACTCTCTCTCTCTGTCAAATAAAGAAATAAAATATTTTTAATAAATAAATAAATATAATACAATTTAAAAATTATTATGGCAGTAGCCCCTCATCCTATACTATGTACTCTAAATTTGTACATACAGGATGGCCCAAAGTCAAGAGCAGACCTTTCTACCTAGGAGGGGAAGATGAGGCAGCTAAAAGCAAAGCATATGAGGAGGGTAGTGGCAACAGGTAAGGCAGAAGAAGGGAACTGGAATGAGACCTTGAGGACTATTATACTGTGGGTAGGGAATGGAGCAATAGTAACTGTAGGGCTACCTGTGTGGCTCAGTGGGTTAAGTGGCTGCCTTTGGCTCAGGTTATGATCTCAGGGTCCTGAAATCCAGCCCCACATCAGGCTCCTTGCTCCACAGGGAACCTGCTTCTCTCTCTCCCTCTGCCTGCTGCTCTGCCTGCTGGTGCTCTCTCTCTCTCTCTCTCTGTCAAATAAATAAATAAAATCTTTTTTAAAATAGTTTCATTTATTTAAGTAATCTCTACACCCCACTTGGGGATCAAACCCAGAACCCAGAAATCAAGGATCCACACTCCTCTGACTGAGCCAGTCAGGTGCCCCAATATAGGTGATTTATGTTTCATCTATACTTTTTGGAGTTTACAGATTCGCTACTACAAGCATGTTTTACAATCAGAAAGTATTATTATTAAATGTTACTTATTGTCTTAAGTGTTACTCCCAGCAGTGACAGGAGGCGACAGCAGAGGATAAGGGAACCAAAAAGGGAATGGAGCTGCGGGAGACATTTATGTGGTCCCGCGAGTGGCCACCAGGGGTCAGCAGCACGCCGCAGTCTGCCTGCCCCTTGCCACAGGTGAAGAGGACGAGGCTCCCGCCGGGAAAGATCCTTCTTACCATCCTCAGTCTCACACTAATCGCCATTTGCTTTCCACATGCTTCTGTCTCGGGCCATTTCCCACTAAATGGCAGTCATGGGGACCTCCGAGGACCACAGCTGTCTGCAAGCTGGGGGGCGGTGGGGGTGGGGGCTGGCGGAGATTCCCGGGACCTGAGTTCTGCCTTCCCAGGGACCCTGGACAAACCCTGGACAAAGAGAAGGCCCTAGACTCCAAGGATCCATTCCTCCTGGTGGGGGACAGGAAACTGAGCAGGTTTCCGGGACTGAAACTCTGCCAAAGGAGAGCCAGGGGTCACAAGAGGGGTCAGCCTGTCCCAGGAGGAAGATCACTGCTCCCAGTAGGGCTAATGGTTCTGTCCTCATCAAGCAAGGGGAACGGTGGAGAGTTTGTCTGAGAGTGAGTTGGAGGCTGCAGTAGCCCAACTCCACCCTCTGAGCCGAGAACTGATCTAGGCCTGCCAGGAGTTTCTGGAAACCTGTTACTGAGAGGTGCTTCAGACAAGGAGAGAGAACAGCCCTGTGTTGTAGTATGAACCCCGACCTAAGACTCTGGAAACCTGCTGTTACCTACTGTGTGACCTTGAGAGAGTTGTTTACCCTCTCTGGGCCTTAAGTGAGTCCTCTGTTAACACAGAATTAGATAAGATGATCTTTAGGCCTCTCCCAGCTCCAGCATGCTATGACTCTAAAAATTCCAGTCTTCTACCCTTCCCTGCCCCAGAAGGGCCTTAGCCCTGGGAAGATCTGGCTAGACCAGGACAGACCTCATCTGCCTTACGTATGATCTCTGGCCAGTCCCCCAGGCAAGGTCCCTTTGGATTGGATCCAGGCCACCCTGAAGGTGGAGGAGGAAGAGGTTTTTGGCTGAAAGCTGGGATACACCGAAACTCAGCAGCTCTGGTCCCCACCCTGCGGACCATTACATGTAAGCATTGAGTACTCAAGATGTGGCCCCCATCCCCGGAAAGCCAGCTGGAAACTGCTCCCTGTCCCCACCGGGCTCCCAGATACTCCCAGATACACCCTCATTTCCCTTCCCTTCCCTGTGTTCATCCCCTCCCTTCCCATGAACCAGAGGGACCGGCAGGGCCAGCGGAAGCAGTGTTAGTGGGAGGTAAGGAGGGACCACATGCCTGGGGAATCAGGAACTAGGAAGATTCATGGGGTAGCAGGAGCCAGGTTTCTCACAGCTGGGGAACAGAGTTAGATATGGGAAGAGCTGAGGCTGGAATAAACCCATGGTATTGAATGGAATGGGAGATACGGGTGCAAACTTGTTTGTTTGCTTTTTTAAAGTAAGCTCCAGGTCCAACATGGGGCTTGAATTCACGACCCCAAGATCAAGAGTCACAGGCTCCACCAGCTGAGTCAACCAGGTACCCTGCAAACTCATGGTTTTTTAATATACATAGATAAATTTGGAAATAGATATTAATGTATATGTGTAAATATGTGTTCTAATATATACGGTTAACAAACAAAAATTCAACTGAGTAAATACAAAGATCTAATTGGCTTTATTAAGTGATTCCCAGAATCAGGCAGTATTCCAACTAGCAAGTAGAGGAGCCCTATAAAATGGAAGGTTTTCATAGGAAAGGGGGTGACGATGGGGGGGGGCAAGGTACAGCACCTGAATGGCTCAGTAGTTAAGCAGCTGCCTTGGGCTTAGGTCATGATCCTGTGATACAGGGATGGAGCCCCACATCAGGCCGAAGCCTACTTCTCCCTCTCCTGCTTCCCCTGCTTGTGTTCCCTCTCTGTGTCTCTGTCAAATAAATAAATTAAATCTTTAAAAAAAAAAAAAAAAAAGGAAAGACAGTGGGGTGATGGGGTAAGAAGTTATTAGCAAAAGAAAACATAAGTCCAGGCAAGGTCATCTCCCCTTAGGGTGAAGGGCATAGGCTCTTATTAGGTGGATGACCTCATCTTTGGGAGATGGAGAGGGCCTGTGTGGTAGATTATCTTACTGGTACTGATTAGAAAATTCCTGACTGACCAGTTAAGACTTACATTTCCAGGGTGGGGGTAACTTACCCTAAGTGACATCATTTTGGGAGTGTGGTTTTCTTTTTAACAATATAAGTTATAGTCACATATGCACATATATAAATTACATTTATGTATGTGTATACACACAGCAGCACATCTAATGCTCAGGTCAAGGTTTTCTAACCAAGGAACCAGAGTTCTTTGGAGAAGAGCTCATGTCCAGTATGAGATGAGGAAAGTACAAATGAACCTAGGATATTTAATTGTGTCAAAAAATAAGGAAGTTCTCAAAAATTTTTAAGAATTTATCAGTCACAGGAGCCAGCTTAACAGAGTTAAGCTGGAACAGTGTGAGCATCTTAAAAGAAATGAGAGTGTTCGAGTATAGTCCATTGAATAGAATCAGAATCCATGGACCCTAGTGATAGATAGAGCTAACATTTAAAAAAAAAAAACAAAAAACAGTTATGGGGAGCCTGGGTGGCTCAGTCATTGTCTGCCTTTGGTTCAGGTCATGATCCCAGGGTCCTGGGATGGAGCCCCACATGAAGTTCCCTGATTGGTGGGGAGCCTGCTCCTCCCTCTCCCAGTCCCACTGCTGTGTTCTCTCTGTCAAATAAATAAAATCTTTAAAAAAAAAGTTATTAAAAATGCCACAAAGACGGATTTCAGACCACCGTTGGTTTCACAACAGGCTGAAATTTTAGCGACTATTTGTTGCTTGCTGGTGCAGACAGCCTCCAGCCGGCCCTGATCCATGTGCCCCCCCCACCTCCCACCCCCGCCCCATGTGATGCACTAAGGACAAAGCGTCCCTTCTGAGGCCTTTCCCCTGAAAATGTATAAATTGGAATCTCTTCAGAAGGAAACATTACATAGATGTGAAATGAGACACACTCTACCAAATAATTGTTTGTACTCTTCAAAAATGTCAAGGTCACAAAAGACAAGGAAAGACTGATGAAGTATCCCAGAGTAGAGAGACAAGAGAGAGCATAGCTAAGTGTAATATGTGATCCTGGGTTCAGTCTTTAAGATCTTTCTGGGCCAGAAAAGAAATATGCCCAGAAGGGCCAGGGCTGGATGGTATTATCTTATCAATGTTAATTTCCTATTTTGGGTGGTTATACTGTGATTACACAGGAGAATGGTAAGTGTGCATGGCAGTGTTTACAAGTAATGGGTCATAATGCTATCTTAGGTCTCAATTGGCTAGACAAAATAGGATCTATTATGCAGACATTGAAAGAGATACAGAGACAAACCATAAGAGACTTAATCTCAGGAAAGAAACTGAGGGCTGCTGGAGGGGAGGGGGATTGGGAGGGAGGGGATGGCTGTATGATGGACACTGGGGAGGGTATGTGCTATGGAGACAGTGCTGTGAATTGTGTAAGACTGATGAATCACAGACCTGTACCCCTGAAACAAATAATACATATGTTAATTTAAAAAAAAAGAGATACAGATATATATGCAGAGAGAAGGGTATAGCAAATGTTGTAAATGTCAATAATTGGGGAACCTAGATAAGGAGTATGTTAGAGTTCTTTGTACTGTTCTTGTGACTTTTCTGAAGGTTTCACATTATTTCAAGATAAAAAGAAAAATGTTCCATGGTTTTCCCTAAGGCTGGATCCCAAATTCTCACCTGCTGGGAAACAGGATGATTTGCCTCTCCAACAACATTCCCTCAGTTTGAGAAGTCTCCCTGCCCTTCCCTGGGAGCTATGCCAGCTGATGAAAAGTTCCAGGATGGGGCTGGACCTGGGCATTCATCAGGGGCCAGATAATAGGGACTTATACAATAAGCCTGGCATGTCAGGGACTCTTGGTGTCCCTGCCCATTTAGTTTTTCCAGACCAGACAATTCACCTGACAAAGAAGGAAAAACCATTTAACCTTATTCCAATAAATAAATAAATAAAGACTACATAATTCAAATTACAAAATATGTTTAACAGAAGGCTTTGCTTCAGATTTCCTTTAAATAAGTAGCAAGGCCCCAGGTGCAGCATGATTTCATTTACAAAAATTCAATTAACACATGAGTTTTCCCCAAAAACATATGTCAGGGTAACTTCTGGGAAGTCCTACAGGAGGAATAAGTGAAATCAGATTTAACGACTCAACTCCTGGCAGAAATATTACTTAGTTCCAAGGGGGTTACAACCTGTTTCCCAGATCTTCATAACTTAGCATCTGGTTCTGTTGATGTTTCTAGTTCATGGTTAGGACTCAGCCTCTTGAACCAGGCATAAAGACAAGAATAGTAGCTGATTTAATTTGCCAAATCAGAGATCACACCAAATCCAGGCCAGAGACCTTACACTCCTGGGAGATCTCTGCAGTCATGACAACTTGCTACGGAAGTCCATTCTGCTACATTCCACTTTCACCATTTATTAAATTTAAGTCAGCTGAGTTGGGACCTATATTCTATCTACTGGGATTGGCTAAGGCAATAAATCAAAGACTGTCAGAATTAGACAGGATCTTAAAGATCATCTTGTACCATCTGGGTACCAGCCTGTGGTTGAGGATCCCTAATCAGCAAGACTCTTTCCAGTGTCGTGAACCAAACAGTGATAAACCACTCATGAAGAGAGAGTGGGCTGCTGCCTTTTAGCTCAGGTGCAGGTGATGGGTGATGGATGAGAAGACATTTGAATCCCCCTGCAACATCTAAGGAATTCTTTGATCCTCCTTCACCTCCTTTAGTCAAGTAAAGACAAGGCTGGCTTCTTGCCTTCCTTCTCCTGAAGACCAGGCCAGGTGCCAGAATTTGATCACATGAGGTCTTTTCTTAGGGGAGCCTTTGCTTTGTTCCCTCCTGCTTAAGCAACCAGCTCAATCCCTACAAATTATATCCATTTCATTCAACTTATCTTTTATTGAGTACTGACCAGGTTTGGGGCACGGAGCTAGGCTCTGGGTTCACAGTGTGCACGAAACAATCATTAGTACCTGCCTACACAGAGTTTACAGTCTAAGGGAGGGAGACTATAAACACAGAAATATATAATTACAAATTACGGTAAGAGTCATGAAGGGGAAAAGCAAGGTGCCCTGAGAGATATTAATATGTTAGGGGTCTAGAAAACTTTTCTGAGACAGTGACATTAAAGGTGAACCCTGAAGGATGAGCAGGAGTCAGTTAGACAAAGTGGAAAGAAAGAATATCCCAGGCAGAGAGAATGGGAGAAGACTCTGATGCAGCATAGAGTTCAGGATATTTGAGAAACAAAGGACCAGTGTGGCCAGACTCTGGTATAATCAGGGGGACTGGAGTAGGATGATGCTGAAAGGGATTCAGGTTAAAAAGGAAGCTGTGTGCCCTGCTGAAACATTTGAGTTTTCATAAGTGCACTGACTTATAAGCAATGGAGTAAGCTGATTTAATTTAATTTTTAAAAAGTCATTGCTCTGGCGGTGCATGGGTGGCTCAGTGGGTTAAAGCCTCTGCCTTTGGCTCAGGTCATGATCCCAGAGTCCTGGGATCGAGCCTGCGGCAGGCTTTCTGCTCAGCAAGGAGCCTGCTTCCTCCTCTCTCTCCGCCTGCCTCTCTCCCTACCTGTGATCTCTGTCAAATAAATAAATAAAATCTTAAAAAAAAGAAGTCATTGCTCTGCAAAAATTGAAAGGAAGAAGGCAAAAAAAAAAAAAAAGAAAGAAAGAAGAGATAAATTAAGAGGCTATTATAATTCAGACAAGAAGTGATAGTGGCTTGAACTCAGCCAATAGCAACAGAGATAGAGAGACGTGGAGGATTCAAGATACATTTGGATGTAGGGACCAAGTGGAGAGAGCAGTATCAAGAATTTCACTGAAAAATTCTACATAGAGCAGCTGGGTGGAATGGAAGGAGGTCCCATTTACCAAGATGAGAAAGTCCAGGAAAAAGTTGAAAGGGAAGAGATTGTGAGTTCAGAATTACACACAGTAGGTTTCTGAGATTCTTGTGAACCTTCCAAGTGAATAAATATATTGGGAATCATCAGCAAATAAATGGTATTTAAAAGCGAAGGAGTGGATGAGACTATCTAGGAAAAAACTACAGAGTGAGAGAGAAGAGAGAAGCAGAGACATAACAGAGGAGAGGCAAAACTAAGCCCCGAGGAAATGCAACACAGAGATCTGAGAGAGAAGAGCATCTGGAAACGGGACCCTGGGAGCAACTGCCAGAGAGAAAGGAGAAATCAAAAGAGCTGATGTCACTGAGGTTGAGAGAAAAGAATATTTCAAAAAGATGAGTTTGGTAGACTGTTTGAGTGTTTCTGAGAGGTCAAGCAATGTAGAGCCCATTGATGACAAGTCAGTTTTGATAAAGAAATGGAGGGAGAGGGGCACCTGGGTGGCTCAGTCGTTAAGTGTCTGCCTTCGGCTCAGGTCATGATCCCGGGGTCCTGGGATCGAGTCCCACATCGGGTTCCCCACTCAGAGGGAAGCCTGCTTCTCCCTCTCCTACCCCTCTGCCTGTGTTCCACCCCCCCTCTGTCAAATAAATAAAATAAAATAAAATAAAAAAGAAATGGAGGTAGAAAGTATACTGGAGTAGGTTCAAGAATGAATGACAGAAGGTGAAAACAGCTTGCAGAGGGAAGCAGAGGAACAGGGTAATAAATGGCTATCTTCTCACTTTGGCCTCCTAGCCAGGTCGGCTACAAACTTATTCCATCTTTCCTCCCAGGTTTTCATGGCAGCCTTTTTCTCAGTATCCAACAAGGTGCTGAGCCTGCAAGAGAAAAGGCACTCAGGTCAGGAGAGAAAGGGTTGGGGAAAAGCTGAGGGGGTCTCAGATGTGTGCAGAGCACATTTCTCCCCAGTCCAAGAGCAATAAGGAAACAGAGGCAACGTAGAAAAAAAACATAAAAAACCTTCCAGACTTCTTCCCCAAAACTCTAAGAGAGATAAACACAAGTCACAGGGCAGAAGAGCGAGTTGGGGATCTGGGAAGTACACAAGATACTCACTTGATAGAGTTCATAGCCAGCTGTTTAAGGGTCCTCAGATCAGCTGCCATTCCCCCAATGCCCATGAAGGCCTCATAGAAATCATAGGATAAGCCTTTGGCACCAAAGACAGCTGGGTCATCAGAGCTGATCACCATGGGGTACCCAGTGGCCATCAGAACAGCAGCAGGGTGATTTCTCAAGTCAGACACCAGTTTCAGAACCTGCCAATAAGAGGCAAAGGAGGACAAACTTTGACCATAAAAAGAGTTGTCCCAAGAGAGGCAAGACCCTGAGGATGACCAGCTCCTTTCTTACCCTCATCATCCCTGACAACTGGAATGACTTCTGGGCACAACACAGAAAGAGAGCCAGGCCTCGTGTTCTTCCTAATTTTTTCCAGGTTTCTTTACCACCACAAACATTTGGTCTCTCTCTTGGTCTGGCTCAGAGCTGCTCTCCTGAACACAGGAAGATAGACAGGTGCACAAGAACCCCAAACAACTGTGGAAACAGCAGTATCCTATGGCCCCTCCCACTTCACTAGGCTTCCTCACTGTCCCTTTAGCTTTGTCTATAGCTTTGCCCAAACTTCCACCCCACTGGGGACCCTCACTGCTGCCTCATTGTTATGAATGGGTTAAACAAGGGGCCATTCCTAAATAACTTACTAATCGGAGTGAGACAGTGGAGGAATACTGAAAACAGGTGAGCTGAGGAGCAAGAAATTATACAGGAAAGAGTTTGGGAAATCAGAACAGAGGCTGAGATTGGAGGGTTGGTCTCATGGGTCATGCATACCTGGTTGGAGATGGGACAAACTTCTATGGGGATGTTCTTCTTCCAGGAGTCAGCCCAGACTGCTGGGTGTTTGGTCAAAGCAAATCCATGGCCAATCCTGGTAGAGTTCAGTATTAGAGCATCCAGAAGATTTCTATCTATGGAAGTACCCTGCCAGTCTGGGGGAAAGGGATAGTTTTCAGTCAAATGGATCTGGCCTATAGACCATACTCAGATAAACACTTCCGATCCCCAAGCAAGAAAAAGAACACACACACGTGCGTGCACAAGCGCACGCGCGCGCACACACACACACACACACAATTTTCCTGGTAACGATGGTAACAAAAGGTAATAAAAGCCTTTATTTTATGTATGTATGTAACAGATGAGGAAGTTGAAACTTAAACAGGCTTTATAAATTGAAGGAGCATACTCAATTAAGTAGTAAAACTGGGTTTCGAACCTTGGTCTGTCTGACTCCACAGTCAATCTTCTTTCTTTCCATTTGTTTGTTTCCAGAGCGATTTCCTGGGAACTTTGTTTATTATCTTTACAATAATGTGTTGCAAACACTCGATATTACTTGTATGTACTTACTCAATTTGTATCTTCACCAATATGAACTGCAACATCGACTACAAGATCACAACGACCAGCAAGGTGGTGGCAGGTACTGCCTATATACCAGCCAGACCCACTGTATCTTCCTTGCTTGCAGGGCTTTCTTTGGAGGGTGAAAATTACAGGTCCTGACTCTGCTGGCTTCCCTTGCAGCTAGGATAGTCCTAATGCTGGCCTGGAAGGTAATTGGTGGAGAGCTCTTGGGCTTCTTCCCTGATAAAAGAGATGCCCTGGAGCAAATATCTTGACTCTTGCTTCACTGAATTGGTTACACCTAAATGTAACTTGACTATCTGACAACCAAGTACAGTGAACCCCTGGATTTGAAGAGGAAAGCAGAGGTCACTTATTATGTAAAATAATAGGTGACTTTAGGGCACTTGGGTGGCTCAGTCGGTTAAGTGATTACCTTTGGCTCAGATTATGATCTCGGGGTCCAAAACAGATGATCCAAAATAGATGACCTTGTTGTGAAACCTATTAAATGTGCATATTCCATTCCTGGCAGCCAAAAGCATTCTAACTGATCTACATGTAAAATATGAAAATTCTACTTTTCTTTTTTTTTTATTATTTTTTCTTTTTTTTAAGATTTTACTTATTTATTTCACAGACAGAGATCACAAGTAGGCAGAGAGGCAGGCAGCGAGAGAGGGGGAAGCAGGCTCCCTGCCGAGCAGAGAGCCTGATTCGGGGCTCGATCCCAGGACTCTGGGATCATGACACGAGCCGAAGGCAGGAGCTTTAACCCACTGAGCCACCCAGGTGCCCTGAAAATTCTACTTTTCTGTTAGGAATAAAACCCCAGAATTCCCCGCTAGTTAGGGTATGTGTTTCGGGAAGATTTTCACTGGCTTCCTATCTAGAACTTTCTTTTCAAACAGCTCTTCCTATTTATTTATTTAAGATTTTATTTATTTATTTATTTGATGGCGTGCCTGGGTGGCTCAGCTGTTGAGTGGCTGCCTTTGGCTTGGGTCATGATCCCAGGGTCCTGGGATTGAGCCCCACATCGGGCTCCTTGCTTGGTGGGAAGCCTGCTTCTCCCTCTCCTGCTCCCCCTGCTTGTGTTCCCTCTCTCACTTTCTCTCTCTTTCTCTGTCCAATAAATAAATCTTTTTTTGAAAGATTTTATTTATTTATTTGACAGAGATCACAAGTAGGCAGAGAGGCAGGCAGAGAGAGAGGGGGAAGCAGGCTCCCTGCTGAGCAGAGAGCCCAATGTGGGGCTCAATCCCAGGACCCTGGGATCATGAACCTGAGCCAAAGGCAGAGGCTTTAATCCACTGAGACACCCAAGCACCCCAATAAATCCTTTTTAATAAATATTTTATTTATTTATTTGAGAGAGAGTGAGTGAGAGAGTGAGGATAAGCCAGGGGAAGAAAAGAGGGAAAGGGAGAAGCAGACTCCCTGCCCACTGAGCAGCGAGCCTGATGCAGGACTCGATCCTGGGACTCCAGGATCACGACCTGAGCCAAAGGCAAGTACTTAACTGACTGAGCCACCCAGGCTCAGATGTCAGGAGGATCGCTTTCATTTTATTTTATTTAATTTTTTGAAAGATTTTATTTATTTGAGAGAAAAAGAGAACACATGAACAGGGGGAGTGGCAGAGGGAGAGGGAGAAGCAGGCTCCGGTGAGTGGGGAGCCCAACATGGGGCTCAATGCCAGGACTCTGGGATCATGACCTGAGCTGAAGGCAGATGCTTAACCAACTGAGCCACACAGGCACCCCTCTTCCTTTTTAAAAATAAGAACATGACTCTTGGGTATTAATACCCTGTATTTCTCCTGGCAAAATCCTCTCTTAGGGCCATGCATCTTAGAATGTGGTTAGATCCTGCTACAGTGTTTCATACTGTTGAAATTATTTCACACAGGTAAGTATGGTTTTCCCAACTAGACCACAAGCTCTTCACAGTTAACAACCCGTAGCCCTTATCGCATCCCCCACAAACAATTCTACAAATCTCCTACAACTCTGATCTAAATTGGATCCAAAATGACTTGAAATGTCAGGGAAAAAGAGATTAATGCACACGGACCCTTCCTCTGAGAGGTGGTGTGATAAACGAAGGGTTGAGCCTGGTTGTGAAATTCAAGCCCCCACTGCTCTTCACATCTAAGGATGACAGGTGCCTAAGGTACACAGGGACACCAGGTGAGACATAGCAGCAAGCTTTCCTCCTGACATCTTCATTTTGACCTGAAATTGCAGCCATGATCTGGGATTCCCTTTGCTTAGGGTTTATATATTTTAAGGACTATAAAATGGGAAGGTCTCAGAGATGACCCATGAGCCTGTAGAGTGAGCTTTGGGGAACAAAGCTGTGGCTAGGCTAATGGCATTTCAGAAACAATAGCAGTGGGCTGGCTTGAGCTGGGTGGGGTCTCCTGTTCAGCACTGAGAAGTGTGGACAGAGCCTCCTAGCTGCTAGTGCAGGCCTGGTTCTAGACTCCTGTGTGACTTTGGACAGGTGCATTGATTTCTTAAGCACAATTTGCTCATTATAAAATGGAGATCATCAGAAAGGGCTCAAATTTAAACTCCACTAATGACCAGCTCCTTGCCTTTGGACCAACCACTCTGTGTTTGGAGACTTGGGCTTTTCACCTATAAAATGGGAAGGGTGCCTGGGTGGCTCAGTTGGATAAGCACCCTACTCTTGATTTCAGCTCAGGTCATGATCTCAGGGTCATGATCCCAGGGTCTTGAGATGGAGCCTGCTGTCCAGCTCTGCATTCAGTGGGGAGTCTGTTTGAGATTCTCTCTCCCTCTCCCTTTGCCTCTCCCACCCAAATAAATAAATCTTTTAAATAAAATAAAATAGGGATTAAAAACACCTTCCCAGAAGGACCAGGGTGAAAATTAGAAAAAATACATGTGGGGCACCTAGGTGGCTCAGTAGGTTAAGCATCTGCCTTTGGCTCAGTTCATGATCTCAGGGTCCTGGGATCGAGCCCCACATTGAGCTTCCTGATCTTCAGGGGGCCTGCTTCTCCCTGCCCCTCTGCCTGCTGCTCTCTCTACTTGCATACTCTGTCAAATAGATAAATAAAATCTTTAAAAAAAAAAAAAAGAAAGAAAGAAAGAAAAGAAGGGGTGCCTAAGTGGCTCAGTGATTAAAGCCTCTGCCTTTGGCTCAGGTCATGATCCTGGGGTCCTGGGATCGAGCCCCGTGTTGGCTTCTCTGCTCAGCGGGGAGCCTGCTTTTGCCTCTCTCTGTGCCTGCATCTCTGCCTACTTGTGATCTTGGTCTGTCAAACAAATAAATAAAATCTTTAAGAAAAGAAAAAAGAAATAGGGGCACCTGGGTGGCTCAGTGGGTTAAAGCCTCTGCCTTCGGCTCAGGTCATGATCCCAGGATCCTGGGATCAAGCCCCGCATCGGGGCTCTGCTCAGCAGAGAGCCTGCTTCCCCTCCTTCTCCCTCTGCCTGTCTCTCTGCCTGCTTGTGATCTCTGTCTGTCAAATAAATAAATAAATAAATAAATCTTTAAAAATAAAAAAAGAAAGAAAGAATGTATATAAAGACACTGTTATTGTTATTCCTTCTCCAGGGGTTGCCATTAGGATTAAGTGAAATAACGCATATGAAATGGACAAGTGCCACAAAAGGACTACCAACAATACCAATATTGCCCCAGAATTCCATCAGTTCTCTTGAATGAGGAGGAGCCCTCCTATCCATCACCTCCTCTGTTCTGCTTGTCTTCAGATGGCTCACCTGTCTCTCCAGCATGGAAAAAGTAAGGCAGTTTAATGCCCTGCAAGGTGGGTATCATCAAAGCCTTCCTGTAGTCATACAAGGTATGGCCAGTGTCCTCATGCCCCACCTGCAGGACAGAGAGGAGGGGACATGGAGCCATCTGCTTGGTCCATGCCTCAGCTGTCACTACAACAAAATTATGCTTCTCAAACTAAACCACACATACCCCCAGGGCTTTGTAGCTCTGTGCCAAGAGGAAGTGCGCCTTAAGATAGATAACAAGCGTATCTCCTTTGGAATGCTGATTTTAATTTGTTGGGGGTGGGGAGGGCAGACAAGGACACATTTTTACAATAAGCCAAATACGGATAATCAATGTAGTAGAATGGAGTGCAGGCTTGCAATAGAGTTGGAACTTGCGAGTAGATCCCTTTGAACAACTACCTAGCCCCCTTCCAACCCTAATTTCCCTCTAGGGCTTGTCCATTACAGCCCTTGTAGGGACTGTTCTGGAAGGTCTATACTAGAGGTGCTCTTTCCCAGCCTCCTTTGTCCGTGCTGCATGCAGAGGGAAGAGGTGAGATGAGAGGGCATTCTGCCCCTTTCAGGAGAGGCCAGACCCTTTGAGCAACCCCCAGGGATCCCAGGAGGGCATCCCGGGTCCAAACAAAATCAGTCTTTGAAATCCACTCCTGAGCTCTGGATGGTCTGAAAACAGGAGCTTAAGCACAGACTCAGGTAAAATGTACAGATTCTGTAAGAGGGAGTCAGGAGCACCTTTCAGCCAGTTTGTTCAAACTAGTTGACCTTCCCTAACAAGATTTAATTGGTTGTCATCTGGGAAGTGTGCCCTGGCTGGCAGAACCTGGCAATGGCTTTGATTTGGTGGAGGGGTAGAGGACAGTTTTGCCCAGGGCTAGCCCCATCTCTGCTTCCAGGCCTCCCCCTACACTCCTCCGTCATGTGCTATGGTTTTAAGAGCCAGCCGTGGGTGGGCAACATGGGCTAGAAAGAGGGCGGAGGGCAGGGGAATGGGAGTAAGGCCACCATTACTGCCCAACCTCCTTGAATTCTCCTTATTCTGCAACTCCCCCTTTCAGCCTTCTGGCCCTTTCCGCTCCCCCTTCTCTTGTGACTACAGGCCCCAAGAGAAGGTCAGTGCTAAACTCTGGCCAGGCCTGTGCCTCTACAGAGGGCTTCCATGGGAGCCGACAAGGCCTTCGGGAAGAGCTCCCTGCTGGGCCCTGCTCTCAGACAGCTTCGTCGTGCAGTCAGTTACCAGGTCAAAGCCTGCCACCATCCTGGGGAATGTGGCCCGAAGCATCATAGCCGTTTGGACGGATTTCATGATGAAGGACACATTTTTGAATCTGCGAGAGAGAGAGAGAGAGAAGCAGGGGCAACAGCGTGACTTGGCATTGGTGCTGCTGTGTACCCCAGAGTGGCTCTGCCAGTGCTTGGACCTGGGCCGGGTCAGGGTACTCAGCAACCGTTCCCCATTGCCCATGTGACCCTCTCCTGACTAGGCCATCGTGACTCCTGCCAGGGGCTACCTCTGAGAGAGGTACCTCTTCACCCAAACCCAACCCTATCGAGGACTCTGGCTGGCTCCAGGATGACCCACAGTGTCTGAAAGGCAAGACCCATGGGATATGCTTCATTATCTACATTCGGATGAAGCAAAGAGGTCTCGTCCAAAACTTGCCCTGCATCCCTGAGAGGATGGCTCCTGGAAGTGGGTGCAGTACAGAGCCTGGCTCTCTGTCCACTGGGCACCTAGGAAATGCAACAGATGAACCAAGTCCCTGTCAGGTCAGCAGGACCTGGCAATGATAGGTCCTTTGCCCCCAGTTAATTCAGCAAGGCCCTGGGCACTCCAGAAACCCTATGACTGAACTTCTGTCTTCTCTTCGCACCCTCTTTGTTCCAGTCCAGGAAAAGGATGAGGCAAACAACAAGACAACAGAAGCACTGAAGGGAAAAGTGTGGTACATCTCTGTGACAGGACAAAGGTCTCTGCACAGCAGCTGGCTCACTTGTCCCTCAGTGACAGAATTTCTGTGGGCCTAAATTTCTCCTGCCCCCTACCCCACATTGCTCACTCCCTCTCCTGCAGAGCTCTAAGGGAACACAGAGGATTGATCAGCTGCAGCCCAGCCCTCACACCCTCCTGCCATTGGCTCCCAGGTTGCCTCTGAGGGGAAGCAGTGGGGCTCCAGCCTGCCAGCTCCATCCCAGATGACTAGCTCCCGCTCATGCATGCCCCCACTCCCAGCCCTCACAAAGAGGGAAGGGGATTCAGCGGGAATGGAGTGGGGAGGAGTCTGACTGCCCCCCCAGAGCCCAGCCTCTAGGGTAGGCTGAGCAAATGGAGGAGCTGCCCTTCCCCAAGTCCTGATTCCATGTGATCTGCATTTGAGAACCCTGCATCTCCAGCCCGGTGCACAGTCACAGGCCTTAGACTGGTGGCCCTCTGACAGGAGCAAAGAGCTGTCCTTCAGTATAATCAATAGGAAAATTCAGTTTTAAAGCTTTCTGTGCTTGCTTGGGGGAAGAGTGGGTCCTTGTTCATGCTACCAGGTCCCACATACATGCTCCTGTGGGGTGTCCACACACAGACTCTGAGATAGCGGTCCCTCAGGGCTGGGTCACCAGTCAAGGCCTTGCACACAGCCATCCCCCATGGATGACATTAAGCAGAACCCCAGAGGCAAACTGAAACAAGGAAATGAGCCAGTTATCTAAACATATAGGCCAAAACATATCCCAGGCCAACATGGGGCCTAGAATTAATATGGAAAATTGCCATAGCTCTTCATTTAAGCTCAGTGGCAAAGATTCGAACTAGAAGTGACTTTAGAGGTAGAGGTTTGCACCCATGCATGAATGTACCCACTGAGTCCATGGCTCTTTGGCACAGGGTGTAGGTCTCTGATGCCAGCCTCCCTCTTTTTCCCTCTCTCCTCCCCTCCCTTCCTAGTGGCTCTGTCTGCATCCCATTCTCCCAAACCCCGCACTTCACCCATGTCCTCTCTCACCTGCGATCTGAATAAATGAGTTTGATTCCAATAAATCCAGGATGCTTTTTCGCAAACATATAAGCCACTTCTCTGTAAGTCCTCACTGACCACTCCTGGTTATGGATGGTCCCATTCAGTTCATATACCTAGGAAGGAAGCATGGTCATGATCAGACATCAGAGGTGAGCGAAACTTCATTCCCATTGCCAGTAATCTCTAAAACCACGTTGGACTTTGCAATTTCCTTGCCTAGTGCCTTCACCAGCCTCTGACATTTCTCAGAAGTCCTAGTCCTATCTGGGATAATGCTCTTGAACACCACAAAGTGGGCTGTCTGCCTGTCTCATTCATTGCTGGGTCCTCGCACCCTGAACAGTGCCTGGTGCTCGGTAGGCATGTGTGTAATGAATGAATAACAGGTCAGCGGGGGACAGGACCCACTTCATCTCCCCACTTTCCCATCCCTAGGTGGGATGTCCCCTGAGGTGGACATGGTTAGGGGCGGAGTGAGAAGAGCCAGCAATGGACCATGGGTAAGGCAAAGGGGAAGGAATGGGTGGAAAGAAGTCCCCTCTTTGGAGGTTGGGCCCCACGAAACCCACTGAGAGAGGCCAGAGCGCATTGGCGTGGACATGTCCCCTGCAGCTCCCTCTGCCCTCCCCTGCCACTGGGTCAGCTCTCACCCCTGCAAAGAATGGCAGTTCAGGGTCAGGACAGGATGTGGGAGTTTTTTCCCAAGAGATTGTGGAGCGAGGGAAGATGGGAAGAAGTAATATGCAGAAGTCATTTCCATGAACATCAGTTAAAAACCTGCCATGGGCAAGGAACCAGGCTAGGTCCTGGAGGGGTGGTAAGACAAGATGCCTGCCCTTAAGGAGTTCCCTTAGTGGAGACAGGCTCTGTTCACATTTATGATATAAAGCAGGAAGAATTAAGTGCTAAATAGAGGTTTACAGGACCTCAGAAGGAAAGGGGCTTCCTTTGAACTGGGTAGGGTCAGAGACGCTTTCTTGGGGGGATGGCACTGAAGCATTGCTAGGCCTGTGTGCGAAGCAGTGGCCCTACAGGGAGCCAGACCTACAGGGTCAGGGAGCAGAGGCTAATGGGCAGAGAGACAGAATGGAAGTCATGAGCTCTCCCACTGCCTGCAGGAGAAAAGTCCTTTTTCCTCCCTGGGGTCTGATATCCTGGAGCTGGTCGTGTCCAGGAAGCTCTTCTCATTGCCCAGCCAGTCACTTGCTCACTCTCACCGGCCCACGGGGCCTCCCTTTTCCCTCCTACCTATACCCCGAGGTGTTGCCTGCTGTCCTGGGGCAGCCTCCCCAGCACCCTCTTCTCCCCAGGCCCACGGAGCAGCCTCTTGGCTCTTTTTCACCTCTGGGGGTCCTGTTTTGCAGCCCGGCTTGGGGGAAGTGGGGTGGATGGGCAGCTCTTTCCAGCCCTCCTCTTGGCCCCATTGGCCTTGGCTCTTTGGTTTCCTCTGCTGTTGCCCCAGTGAAGCCTGGCCTCTCACGCAATCCCCCGCAAGGCTGCCTCAGCCAACTGGGCTTGGTATTGGCAGGTGGGCCTTCCCTGACTGCTTGGCCTCGGAGTGGACATTCTCAGGCTTCCTGAAGGTTAGAGCTGCCAGAACTTTCCAGAGGACAGACTCTTAGAAACTGCTAACTCAGTATCTAGTATAGCCTGTTACTACTATTAATATTTTTACCAAAGGGGATCAGAGTATGCCACCCTAAAATACGCTCCTTTTGCATAAGGATTACTTTGAGTGGAAAGCAATTAAGCAGCAAACACAGAGCTCTTTGCCCTCCTCCTATCTGCCTACAGGCAGGACATAAACTATTGGTGAAGGTGATCCCCCTTCTATCTCCCATACCAGAAGAACAAGGCTTATCACTGGAGACAGAAGGTCAGTACCTAGAGGAGTCTGCATAAGCAAACCGTACTATTATAACCCTTATCTTCTCTGAGTGTCCCCCATATAGTTCCCTCACCACAATTTACTGCCCCAGAAACCCAAACCCCTTTTCCTTTGTATTATCATTTCTCCACAATTTATCACCACTGGTTAAAATCATGTATAAGCACCTGTTCTACCCACTTCTTTGGGTCTCACTTTTTTCTACAAGACCTCCATGCACACAAAAATTAAACATTAACATCAAATACAATGTGTAGGACTTTTCTCCTGTTAATGTGGTTTTTGTCAGTTTAATTTGCAAGCCTCCAAAACAGAACTTTAGGAGGGTAAAGGAAAGTTACTTTCATCCTCTCCTCAAGTTTTTATTTTATTATTATTTTTTAAAGATTTTATTAATTTATTTGACAGAGAGAGACACAGCGAGAGAGGGAACACAAGCAGGGGGAGTGGAAGAGAGAGAAGCAGGCTTCTGGTTGAGCAGGGAGCCCAATGCAGGGCTAGATCCCAGGACTCCGGGACCATGACCAGAGCGGAAGGCCTAACGACTAAGCTACCCAGGCGCCCCTTACCAAGGATTTTTTAAAAGAGAACTCTTCCTGCCACTGATCAAAGCTTCAACATGGGGCACCTGGGTGGCTCAGTGAGTTAAGCCTCTGCCTTTGGCTCAGGTCATGATCTCAGGGTTCTAGGATCAAGCCCCACATTGGGCTCTCTTCTCAGCAGGGAGTCTGTTTCCCCTCTTTCTCTGCCTACTTGTGATCTCTCTCTCTCTCTCTGTCAAATAAATAATATCTTTAAAAAAAAAAAAAGGGAAAAAAAGCTTCAACAGACTTCCTCTATTGGAATCTTCACATCTTTGATGCTGAAAGAACCTATATCCTGTACCCCAGCAGTACTCAAAGTGTAGTAAGGGAACCCCTGTGGGTCCCGTAGACTTTTCTAGGCAATCTACAAAATCAAAAACTCTTTTCATAGAAGTTTCAAGATATTATTTGTCTTTTTCATTCTCATTCTCTCATGAGTGCATAGAATTTTCTGGAAGTTGTATCATACATGACAATATTTCCCTGACAAATAATGGGTTATGTGCTTGTGCAGTCTTGTGTTTTGAAATTTTCTCAGTTTTAATTTTTAACACAGGCTGGATTATACAGCAAAGAGTAGATATAATCCATATAAACAAAAGTTCTTTGGGATCCTCCAAAATTTTTGAGTGTCAAATTTTGAGAACAATGCATTAAACAAACCCAGAATTGATACTCAAAGTTGTCTTGGCATTCTCCAGGTGATTTGCAGAAGGGCAGAACAGAATTCTTCCCAATGCCTTGACTGCTGTGTCATTACTGAGTCACCTGCCCAGACACACCCACAGGATTCTAAACCGCTGACACGGAGGATCCAGGTCCAAGTCCTTTGGATCTTTCCACCTCCCCTCCCACAGCACCAGAGCAGGAGCTCCACAAATAAGCATTAACTTAGGAAAAGCACTCTCTGCTTGGAGTTCCAAAAGTACTAAACCCAAGGCAGCACGTTTTAGAGAAGGGATGAATAGTTGGAGATTGGAGGGGTGGCCACTAGAGTCTAGAGTTGGCAGAGTCGTGCTCTCAGAACAGAAGGGAATCAAAAGAACCTTTAAAAAACAAAACAAACAAACAAACAAACGAAAACCAAAGGACAATTCTGCCTAAAAGAAGATCCTTGACATATGAAACAAGTAGGTACAGATATGCAAATGACACACCAGAGGCATGATGGGAGTTTGCATATGGCCACAGTTTCAAGCCATCAATTCTGTCATTCCAGCACTTACTGCTGGAGAATCTGGGCCGCCTGCCTTGCAGGGTTCCAATCCCACTGCCAGTTCCCATAGCATGGAGAGACTCGAAGATGGAATCTGGCCCCTGGGGCTACAGATGCCGAGCCCTCGTCTCTTGGTGTCTCACTCAGTAAATCACCACTGGGGCTGCCCAGGGCCTTGTGCTCCTGCGCCTCTGGCTGAGAAACTGTGGGCTTTACAGAAGCACCCAGGGCAAGATCTGAATGCTCACGAGCAACCCCATTTCATGGAGCAAGAGACCCTTTTCATGGGGAGACCTGCAACTCCTCACAGCCTCACAGCCACTCCACTACCCGTTAGAATGGTTAGAACATGGCTGTGAAGCCAGGCACTCAAGGAAAGTTCTCACCTGGTTAGGGGGCTCTGGGCAGCCTACTGGGTTGGGGCTCCCAGTGGAGGTATGTTTTGCCCCAGTAAATCATACCTCCCAGGGTCACTGCAAGGATCAAATGAGTTAATATTTGTAGAACACTGAGAAATGATAACTATGAGGGCGTCTGGCTGGCTCAGCCGGAAGAGCACATGACTCTTCGAGCCCCCCACTGGGTATAGAGATGACTTCAAAAGATAAATGAAAACATTTTCAAAAAAGATAATTATTAATAATAATGTTGTTACTATTACCAATCTTATTATCACCAGATACAGAAAAACAACTCAAAAATCTGCAGTTATCCTAGGAAGATGAATTGATATCTAAGAATTTAACAATTAGTAAGTACAAGTAGGTGGTGTGAGTCATTGACCTAAGACCATGTGATACAAAGCTGCTATATCCATGTAATAAGCCCCCTTGAGTTGAAAACACTGGATTCAATGTAGATTATTATCTCCATTTTCATTATAGTTCATTTTTTAAAGATTTTATTTATTTATTTGACAGAGAGAGAGCAGGAGAGCACAAGCAGGGGAAGTGGCAGAGGGAGAAGGAGAAGCAGGCTTCCCAATAAGCAGGGAGCCCAATAGGAGGCTCAATCCCAGAACTCTGGGATCATGACCTGGGCCGAAGTTAGTTGCTTAACCAACTGAGCCACCCAGGCACCCCATGTTCATTATAATTTAATTGCGAAACTATAAAGTTGGCTATTTACACAAGCCAATATAAGATTACAAAATTTTATTGTCTGTGATATCATGGAATTATAGAATCTTGAAGCTAGAAGGAACCCAAGGGAAATGTGAGATTGGACAGTTGCTCAAGGTCACACAATTAGTTTGTATCAGACCAGAAGCCAGGACTCAGAATTTCTACCTCTCAACACAACTGGAGCACCATGCATTTCACCTGCATTAACTGAGCTTCTATTATGTGCCAGGTAATGCCAACAGCCTTATATCATCATCTCCTTTAATCTTCAAAACCACACTATCAGGTAGTACTCGCTTTACAGGTGAGGATTTTGAGGCTGAGAAAGGTCAAGAAACTCAGTCCCACTCCAGAGTGGGGGTGAGGGCTGAGGAGTCTGCCGAATTTCAGAACCTTGCTGACCCTCAGTGTCTCCTGTCACCAGAGCAGCCCCTGTCTTTACCTTCATACTCCAATGGCAGGTAGGGGTCTCGGTGTCTCAGCTCTGGGACACATTAGAACCTGGGAGAGGGAGATGCCTGGGTTTCACCCTGGACTAATTAAATCAGAATCTCTGAGGTCGAAGCTGGTTATTTTTATTTTAACCTCCCCAGGTGATTCTAATGTACAATGTACAGCTAGGGTTAAGATCTATGGTGTTCGTGAACTTGACAGAGAAGAAAATGCTTGATTACAGCATAGTAGGGTAAGTGCTATCATCAAGGGGAGCAGTGAAGGTGGTCCCCCCAACCTCGCTTGTCAGTATTCTCACAGAGTCACACCAGTAATGTCACTTCAGCAACAAGCCAGGTGGAAATTTTCAGTGGAGGATCTGCTAAGAATCCAGGAAAAACTCCAGAGTGGGGGCGGGAATGGGTAGGTGAAGCCTGCCTGAGTAGTGTTGATTGTACAAGGGACAGCATCCAAGAAGACGTCCGGGGACGACCATCGTGGGTTCTCTAGGCCACTGACGCGTCTCTCTCCTAAGACCTCCTGTCAGGAAGTGCCAGCGGGGCCATCTCCTGTTGATAATCCTCTGGGGTCTCACACCAGCTCCACTCTGAAGCCTGGCCGGGGCCCAGTTTGGGCCTCCGATTCTGGCAGTGGGGGAAGGGACTGGAGCCCAGGAGATAAGACCCGCCTAGCAACTGTTGCTAGAGGCAAGTAGCCTTTGTTATCAAGCATTAGTAACACAATAGGAGGCTGAGCAGCCAGGATAGTCCATCAACATCATCCCAGGCCCTGAATTAGCCCCACAAGCTAGAAGGGGGAGGTTGTGCGGCTCAGCAAAAGGATTCCCGTGCAGACGGTTTTTAGTTGTTAATGTGCTGACGGCTCCCCCTACTCTGGCTAATGGGGGGCATTAAGGCAGAGACTCTATTGCAAGAGGCCTTTGTTCCAGGGTCAGAGCAGAACAAATGGTCAAATCCCATCCCCCTCAGCCTCTCCAGAATCCCAAATCCCAGCAGCCTTCCACCTTCTAGGATGGTGGGGGGTGGGCAGAGAGGGAGGAGAGGTTAGGGGCTAGCCAGGGTCCCCACGTGAAATGCCCCCAGAGCCCACTCCTCCGCGGGGTAAGGAGAAAACAGCCCAGCCGAAAAAGGGGAGGGATGAGACAGGAAACTATTGCCTTCCCTCCAGTTTCTCAGCATCTTCCCCTAAATGCTTCCCCACCCAGCTCAAGATGAAAGTCACAGCCCTCAAAGCGACCAAGACCCAAAGCCTCTGCAATTTCCCCCTCCCTCCTCTGCCCTCCGCCCCCAAAGGCGCCCAGGGCTCTGACAGGATCGAAGGGCTACCTCCCCCATGCTCCAACACCGAGAAAGCCTCCAGGATTGCGCAACAGGAAGCGGTCCCCCCAGCAGGGGCCAGCACCGCTCTGGGTGAAGCATCCGCTCAGCCAACCCCAGGGGCTCTCTATCCCCAGCGGAAGGGCGAGGCTGGAAGCCACATGCCCTCTCCAGCAGCTCCTTTTGAGCTGGAGCATGGGTCCCTCAATGCTCACAAAGTCCAGCGCCCTGGCCTCTGTCCAGTCACTCCTTACCACCAACACGATCTTGGCCAGCTCTCTGACCTTCCCGAGCCTCAGTTTCCATGTCCATAAAACGCAAGCTCGCTATGCAGCTCAAGTGCTTTGTAAAGGTCAAGGCGAAGACGGCCTTTGCTCCAAGTGTGGTCTGGGTCAGACCATCTGCATTAGAATCATCGGGAGGAGGGGAAGCGCTAGTTAATTTTGCGGCTTCCCGGCCCTACTCAAGAGCACGGAATTAGAATCCTGGCAGGCTGGGGCCCAAAGGCGAATTTTAAAAAAGAGCACCTCCAGATGATTCATCTGAACAGCCAAGTTTGAGGACCATCATCAGCAAGCATCATTATCACTACTGGTGCCTCTCGGCAACCTAAGATGTGGTGCCGGTCTGAAATATCTCACAGTCCGACATAAATAACGGGGTAACAGATGCTGGGTGCCAGAAATCCACATTTCCAGGAGACAAAGAGGGAGATGTGGGCTGCCACAGTCCCGGGTGGGGGTTGGGGTGGTGGTGAAGGAGGGGTTGGCGGACTTAAGAACCAGTTTCAGTGGAACCCAGAGGAGAGGACGGGCTTAGATGGGGGTGGAGCAGATGCTTGGAGAGAAAAGGATTTTCCAGGCCCAAACCTAGCAATAAATTGTTCTGGGAGGTGCAATTTCTTCTACTCCACACAGTCCAGGCCCAGTGCCAGCTCATCTCTTTTAGAAATTCTTCTCTTTATAGATGGATAGACCCTAGCTTCCTGCAAAAGGATCCTTTGTCTCCGGGTCTTATCTACTTGGCTCACAAAACTGGAGAAAGCTCTACTGAGGGACAAAGGTCAGCCCCACTCCCACTTTCCAAAAACTGTCCTCAGAGCTTTCACTACCAAACATGCAGTCAGATCCCAAGGGTGATAGGCACTTAGCTAAGTGCCAACTCTTCCCAGCCCTCACAGGCTGGCCTTGAGCTAAACTCAAGGAGTGTATTAACATATCTAAGGGGAAGGGTGGGTCCGTCTTGAGAGTTGAGCCTTGAGGAAACTTGGTCACCGATGAAGGGAAAGGTAGCCTGGACCCACAAACTGGAATTACTGGTTCTTGGGACAGGCATATACTTCATTAGAGGATCCTTGAACACTCTAGATCAAACTGGGGGAGTAAAATCAATTTAGGAGTCCCAACAAGAATTAAAAATTTTTTAGAATGCAAAAATACCAGAATCTCTGTACATTCCATTGTTTCCTAAAATGTTTTACAGATAGATACAGATACATGTGGAAACACTATATAAATAGTCAACTTATTGTAGCACTTTCTCCCCCCTCCTGGCAAAAGGGTGATAATTTTCATCAGATTTTCCAAAGATTAAGTACATTATTACAGACTCCCTTAAATTTCCTGAGCCCAGGGACAATAGGGCTCCCCACTGGGCTCACCAACATCCTTCTGGCTATACCTTGGCTTCAGGAAAGGCTAAGAATTGCCCTCAAGGAGAGAGAACTTGCTGGTCAAGAAGCAAGTCTAGGGATGCCTGGGTGGCTCAGTTGGTTAAGGGCTGCCTTCGGCTCAGGTCATAATCCCAGTGTCCTGGGATCGAGTCCCATATCGGGCTCCTTGCTCGGCAGGGAACCTGCTTTTCCCTCTGCCCCTGCCTGCCTCTCGGCCTACTTGTGATCTCTCTCTCTCTTTCTCTCTCTCTCTGACAAATAAAATCTTAAAAAAAAAAAAAAAAAAAAAAAAAGAAGAAGAAGCAGCGAGTCTAATCTAATTGATAGTTTTCTCTGAAAACCAGCACTCTTTCTTGTTTATTCTTCTGTCTCTTATGAATTTGGTCAATGTGTTTTGGTCCTCTGGAGCTCTGTCACTTCTGAGTGTACAAACAATAACATTTCCGAGCCTATAAAGACCATGGAATACGGTAACAAAGCCAAAATGATGCCACCCTGTGGATCTTTCCACAAACTTGAAGGTTAGTCACCAAGGCGTTGGTATGCTCAACAAATACTTCAAAGAATAAGCAGACTAGTTAGGATATGATATAGGGGAGAGCTCTACACAAAGGTCACATTCCCCAAGCCGCTTAAAATATTTAACCAGCTCAAACTCTTGGTGAGCGCACCAAATGGAACATTCAGAAATCCTGCCCACTCCCACAATACCCAAATCCCTCCTACAAATAGTCTTCAGGGAAGTCCAACAGACATCCCAAAAGAATGGTCCAGGAGCATCTGATCACCTGGTGCTGCTCTCCTCAACGATGTGTCCCCTAACGTGGAGACCATCCTCGTTCTCTCCTACAATGGCTCCTTCTCAGCCCACTTCATGAACTTTCCATCCTATTTTTATTTGTTGGGCCCCTTTCTTGACCCACTCCTCTTTTCAACTCACAGCTTCTGTGGGAAACTCACCCCTCTGACAGTTTGAAGAATTACCTTTCGGCAGACAAATGTCAAACATCTGTTTCCAGGCTAGAACTCTCCTCTGGGCTCCACACAGTCATATACTCCACCATTTCCCAGACATCTTCACAGGGCTATCTCATAGACCCCTCCAATTCTACAGGTTCAAAACCAAAATTTCTATTCTCCCTCCCCATCCTGCTTGTCCTCTTACTTCCCCTATCTCCATCAATGTCACCACCAGTCAACTCAACTCAAGTTCAACACCAGCGAGTGGCTATACAGCCTCACCCCCACATGGTCAGTCAGGAAGACCTCTAGAGTCCTCCTCATTGCTTGTTATCTCATACCTGCTGTTTCCCTACTCTCCGAGTCTCTGTCCCCATCTCTCTCAGCCGGCAACCCTCTCACTGTGATCTGTTCTCCCCAGTGCTACCAGGGTGATCCATTTGCCAGACCCATCAGCTGTCCCAGGACCAAGAATGTAGTCTTGAGCGACTCTGGGAAGCTAAATTTTGATAGTCAAGCCAGAGCAGAGCAAAGAGTTGGGCTCACCGGGAGCAGCATGGCTCTGAGCTCCAGATAGAGCACATTGTCCTGGTAGAACTCCTCCAGAGCCTGGAAGATATAGTCTCTGAACACTGGTGCATAGTGGACAAGGCCAGAGATCGTGAAGAAGATGCTTTGAAACTTGGACCAGACGATATTTTGGTTGGCATAATCCACCTCTGGGTTCTCGGTCATCAGCGTGAAATTCCTTAGCAGTCTGTCCAAGACACAAAGCCGGTAAATTGAGGAGGCGTATTTCAAGCCATCACCTTCAAGCACCTGCAGGATTCTTGCCCACCTTGCTTCTCCCACCAGAAGCAAAGCCAGATGCATCATAGTGAACAGTGATGAGAGGCCACGGGAAGCACCCTGGGTTCTCTCATGGAGCCCCTCCCTGAGACCCACTTTGTGCTCCTCAGGACCCAGCTCAGGTGGGATGTTCCCACTAACCAGGCTCTCCTGCTCCCTTCTGCATGCTTAGCCAGTCTGACCCCACTGTACTTACATCCTAGACCAACCTCTCTTTGCGGGGGCAGCGTGTTATGCATGGAATTATACACCCTAAAATCCGTATGTTGAAATCCTAACCCTCAATGTGACTATATTTGGAGATAGGGCCTTTTCAGTGGTAATGAAGGTTAAATGAGGTCATAAGGGTAGGGCCCCCATAGACTAGGACTGGCATCAAGGACACCAGTGACAGGCGTCACACACACAGGGGAAAGGCCCTGTGAGGACACGCTGTCTGCAAGCCAAGGACAGAGGCCTCAGGAGAGATCAAACCTGCCAGGATCTCGATCTTGAACGTCTAGCTTCCAGACCAGTGAGAAAATAAAATTTGGGGGGCATCTGGGTGGCTCAGTGGGTTAAGCCTCTGCCTTCAGCTCAGGTCATGATCTCGGGGTCCTGCATTCGAGCCCTACATTGGGCTTTCTGCTCAGCAGGTAGCCTGCTTCCACCCCAACCCCCCCCCTGACCCCCATCTGCCTCTCTGCCTACTTGTGATCTCTGTCAAATAAATAAATAGCGGCGCCTGGGTGGCTCAGTGGGTTAAAGCCTCTGCCTTCGGCTCAGGTCATGATCCCAGGGTCCTGGGATCGCCCCGCATGGGGCTCTCAGCTCAGCAGGGAGCTTGCTTCCCTTCCTCTCTCTCTGCCTACTGTGATCTCTGTCAAATAAATAAATAAAATCTTTAAAAATAAATAAATAAAATATTTTACAAAAAGAAAAAGAAAAGAAATTTCTGTTGTTAAAGGCACCTGGTCTGTAATATTATGTTATGGCAGCCCTGGCAAGCTAATACAGAAGGTAGGATGGAAATATGGGGACTACACAACCCAGGCTTTGCCCCTGAGTAGCCATGTACTAGCTGTGTGGCCTTAACCTTGAGCTTCACATTTCTTATTCGTAAAGGGAAGTAAGCTCGTAAAAGCACAGCATAGATGATTCTATGCTGAAAACAGCTATTACTTATAATATCACTTTACAAGTGTGTTGGGAAGTTGCTACAAAACATTTTCAAGCTGTTTCACCCACCAATGCACTGTCATTATTCCAGGAGCTGGGAGTTTTTCATCCTTCTGGTATTAAGCTTCTAGGCAAAATTCATCTGATGCAACAATAGTGTTACTGTTAATACTTCTTACAGGTCAAATGAGATTTTTTTTTTTTTTAAGATTTTATTTATTTATTCGACAGACAGAAATCACAAGTAGGTAGAGAGGCAGGCAAAGAGTGAGGAGGGAGCAGGCTCTCCGTTGAGCAGAGAGCCCGATGTGGGGCTCAATCCCAGGACCCTGAGATCATGACCTGAGTGGAAGGCAGAGGCTTTAACCAACTGAGCCACCCAGGTGCCCCTCAAATGAGATTTTAAATGAACCAGGAACTTGCTATTTGAATGCTTTTGTGAAGCAAAGTATCTTATAAAGTTAAGAGCCTCCTGATTTTTTTTTTAAGGCCCGATTTGCATATATGGTTCATACCAAGGAAGACACACCCACACACCACCCACTATGTATTAAGGCCACGTGACACATTCTTTTGGAACCACACTCACCCGTTGTCAAACTCAGTGACGTTCTGCATCTCCTTTCGATACTTCTCCAGCAAAACCCACTCTGAACACTCTGCTGGCATAGGGGTAGGGGGTGTTGGATAAGCAAATTTGAATGACAGGGCCCCCTTCGGGGTGATACAGAAATGGCAGTGGGGCCTATAGGTGACATTTTTCACCAGCCAGTTCATGCTCAGGATGCCGAAGTCATGGACATGTAAGGCAGCCCCTGGAAGGGAAGAAGGGCAGGGTGGGGTGAAGCAAAAGAGGTGAAGTGATCCAACCCCGCATCGTATTCCCTGCTTGATGGGCAGCCTGCTTCTCCCTCTCTGCTGCTTGTGTTCTCTCACACACACACACTGTCTCTCCTGCACACATACTCTCTTTCTCTCAACTAAAAATAATCTTTTTCTTTAATAAAGACTCTATTTATTCATGAGAGACAGAGACAGAGAGGCACAGGGTCCCCACTGAGCAGAGAGCCCAATGTGGGACTCGATCCTAGGAACCCGGGATCATGACCTGAGCCAAAGGCAGAAGCTTAACCATCTAAGCCACCCAGGCACCCTCAACTAAATAAAATCTTAAAAAAATTAATGTAAATATGCTCTAGACATACCATACTAGAAATGCATTTATCCAAGATGCTCGTTCATACCATACCCTGTTTGTTACCTTAGCCTCTGAGAAAGGGCGGAAGAGGCAGATAAAAGACGTGAACGGAGCAGTAGGTCTTATGGCCCAGACACTGCCTTGTGGGTGGAGGCATCTGCTTTGTCAGGAAAGACAGTAAAGCCCAGCTCCCACTCCCCACTGTCTCTCTGAGGCAGAGTCCCCTCTGAAGCTGGGCTTTTGGTAAACCAGCAGCCACCTTCAATGTTTGCCAAGGAAGAACAAAGGTGCAGAGTAGCTGAGTGGGGTTCTCACTGCTCCATTTATTTATTTTTTTTATCTTATTTATCATTACTTTTTAAAGTAGGCTCCACACCCAGTGTGGGTCTTGAACTCACAATCCTGAGATCAAGAGTCCCATGCTCTACGGGCTGAGCCGGCCATGTGCTCCTCCCTGCTCCATTTACAACAACAATAGCTCCAATAACAATGCTAGCTCCAAGTTTAGTTCCCCCTCCCTGCCCAGCATGTGCAAACCATCCCCTCCAAACCTCTACCTTTTGGCATCTTCTTCAGGATACTAAACACCTGACTTTTCTCGATGAGATTCTTGGCCTGGAAGAAGTGCATGCTGGGAGGGAAATTCTGGATCTTCATGGCCTGCACCACCTCAGCCTTTTTGAGAGCCATGAGCCTCTCATTGGCCAGCTCCTCTTGCTTGGTCAGCACCAGCTGCCCCCCAAGCTGCAGCATCTTCTCTCTCATCAACAGCTGGGTTCGTGCTTCATCTATGGATATGGCTGAGCAGAAAAAAGGTATCGCCACCACCAAAAGCAGGGAGAGCAGGGCTGGCCACCCCAATGGGCCACCCATGGACATTGGGATGCCTGGAAGAGGAAATTGCTCAGATGGAAACCCAACAGGGCTAAAAAGGGAGTAGATCAGTGCAAATCGACAGATTTAACTGTCAAACTCTGATTTTCCTTCTCCCACTCTGTTCTCAGGTAACCAGGAGGCAACATACTTCTCTAAGCCCACAGAGAAAAGACCTCCAGGTACAGACCTGAAGGGGTTTCCCAAATCGTAAGTCACCATGAGCCCTCCTTGAACAAAGTGGAACGTTTCAGTTAGTGAGACATGTTCACACATAGAGGAGTATACTGCAATCAGATTTTTAGTGTTTCACTTTTAAATATCATCAGAGAGCAAGAGCTCACAAGGCATACAAAGAACGCCTCCAGCATCATAAAGGAACTTCAAAAAAAAAAAAAACAAAAACAAAGGGAAACAGAGACAATGCAGGAAATAAAAGAAAAATTCAAAACAACCATACTTAATAGCCTAAGAAGGATATGAAAAGATACTGTGCCCATAAAACAACTACAGGGAATTATAAAAAATATAATTTCTTTTATATAATGGCTGGCTGGCTCAGTCCATAGGGCATGTAACTCTTGATCTCGGGGTTGTGAGTTCAAGCCCCACAGTGGGCATAGAGATTACTTAAAATTTTGAAAAAAACTAGGGGCACCTGAGTGGCTCAGTTGGTTGAGCAATCTGCCTTCAGCTCAGGTCATGATCCCAGCATCCGGGGATCCAGCCCACTGTCTGGTTCCCTGCTCAGCAGGGAGTCTGCTTCTCCCTCTCCCTCTGCTGCTCCCCCTGTCTGTGCTCTCCCTCTCTAAAAAAAAAAAAAAAGAAAAAGAAAAAATTAAATTAAAAAATAAACAGAATGAGAAAGAGCTTTTAGAAATTAAAAATACAAAGGCTGAGGGGCTGCTGGGTGGCACAGTTGGTTAAGTGTCTGACTCTTATTTTCGGCTCAGTGGTGGTCTCAGGGTTGTGAGAATGAACCCTACATCAGGCTCCATGCTCAGTAAGGAATCTGCTTAAGATTCTCTCTCCTGGGACACCTGGGTGGCTCAGTCATTTGAGCATCTGCCTTCAGCTCAGGTTATGATTCCAGGGTCTAGGATCAAACCCTATATCAGACTCCTTGCTCAGGGGGCAGCCTGCTTCTCTCTCTGCTTGTTACTCCCCTGCTTGTGCTGTTGTACTGTCTCTCTGACAAAAAAAATTTTTAAATCATTAAAAAAAAAAGATTCTCTCCCTCTGCTCCCCCCCCCCGTTTTCTTACTCTCTCTCTCTCAAATAAATAAGTGAATAAATATTTTTTAAAATACAAAAGCTGAAATTTTAAAAATTTCCTAGCAATATTATAAGATGGAATTGAAGACGATCTTTTTAAAATTAGGACAAAATAAGAAAGAAACAAATGAGGTGATTTTAACTCAGGAAACCCAACCCCAAAGAACAGACATATCAGAAGAAAAAAGAAGAAATAGGAGAAAAAAGTAAATAAGTAGTAGAAGAAATTGGGCCAGAAGACCTAACTCTGGTTTAATGAGCTGGTTTGTTGTTGAGCTCCTAGCAAAGCAGAAGCAATTGCTCCATAGCCACACCAAGATAGGTCGTCGTGATATTTCATAACGGTAGCACTAAAAGCTGCTAAAAAGCTTCTAGAGAGTAGCTAGTCCAGGTTGGCAGTGAGCAAGGATTTAAGGGGAGAAGGAAAGAAACTTGCTTGTATTGGGTCTCCACATGCCAGGCACTCCACCTGGGTCATTTATGTGAATTACATTTAAGAATTATGGGGTGCCAGGCCACCTGGGTGGCTCAGTGGGTTAAGCCTCTGCCTTCAGCTCAGGTCATGATCCCAGGGTCCTGTGCCCCACAGCATCAGGCTCTCTGCTCAGCAGGGAGCATGCTTCCACCCCCCTGCCTGCCTCTCTGCCTACTTAGGATCTCTGTCTGTCAAATAAATAAATAAAATCTTTTTTTTTTTTTAAGAGTTTATTCATCTATTTGACAGACAGAGATCACAAGTAGGCAGAGAGGCAGGCAGAGAGAGAAGGGGAAGCAGGCTCCCCGCTGAGCAGAGAGCCCAATGCGGGGCTAGATCCCAGGATCCTGGGATCATGAGCTGAGCCGAAGGCAGAGGTCCTAACCCACTGAGCCACCCAGGCACCCCTAAATAAATAAAATCTTAAAAAAAAAAAAAAAAAAAGAATTATGGAGTGACTGCATGAGTCAGAGGAGTGTGTGACTCTTGATCTCAGGGTTGTGAGTTTAAGCCCCATGTTGGGTATAAAGATTACTTAAACAATTAACATATAAAATATATATATAAATAATATATATTAATTAATATCTATAATAATAAATAATATATAAATATATAATATAGGTATGTATATATATGTATATATATATACCCTCCTCAGCAGCAAGTCTGCTTCTCCCTCTCCTACTCCCCCTGCTGTGCTCTCTCTCTCTCTCTCTCTCTGGCTCACTCCTTCTCTCAAATAAATAAATAAAATCTTTTTTTAAATAGAAAGATATTAAGTAAATAGAGCTGCAGGGATATGACGAAGGTGAAAAGCTTGCTAATCATTGAAATACAATATATCCCAGATTCTTTCCAGGGCTATTCACTTACTCTAAGCTACACCAGACACCAAGAGGGAATTTTCAGAAGGAACAGGATACTATTTACTCTTGTACCACAGCTATGGCAGGGGCTGTACCATCCTAATCAGAGAGTTGGACTTTAGAAGAACCCCTGCAACTTCATGAAGTCTTCGAATCTCTCTTCAGACCAGTGTTTGCCAACAGCTAAAAGAGAAGAATGACATTTATGTCACCGTTCCATCCATCCATGCTGCGTCCTCCAATCAACAGCCCCAGCCCTTTGTCCCTCTTTCCGTACTGACACGTAGCAGAGGCCACTAAGTTCCACAGCCTCCAACTCTGTCCTCTCCACAGACCCCAGAAGCAGTTGTGTGGCCCTGCATTCCAGGACTTTTCCTGGCCTGACAGACAAAAGCTTATCTAACACCAGTCCTGGCCAAGGCTGACTGAGCATCAGGAAAAGTCATCTCTAGAACACTTGTCACTAAACTTACTTCATCTCTCTCCTCATGAAAAGTGTCTTTTACCTTTAAAAGAGGGTGCACGAAGATACTATAGTTTGTCCCCAGGGTAAAAACAAAGAAATAGACCATGTGCCTCTATGACTCCGAGTCAGTGTCCTGGGGTCCACAACCATTTCAAAAGCCTGTTGTGAGGCCAGGCTATGCCATTCCTCCCGTCTGGAAGGCACAGGCCCACTTGCAGTGGAGGCAGGGAAGACAGCCAGCTGGGAAACAGAGCCCAAGTGCCAGCAACCCCACTCCCTACCGTAACCTCATGAGCTAGACCCCCACCCCAGGGGATCCCAGGTACCTCAGAGCAGCTCCAGAAACTGCAGACTGTTTGCTGAGTCCCCTGACAGCTGTGTCACAAGCACCAGAAAAGCTCACCATCCTGTTTTCACTTCCTGTCAGGGCAGGTTTCACTTCCTCCCGCCTCACGTTGCTCAGGCCTCCAGAGAGAGGCAAGGAAGACAGGGTCTGGCCGAGCTGAGGCAGCAAGGAGGCCTGAGAGTATGCGTTTACGTGTGTGTGCGTCCATGTGCGCACTTACGTGCTTGGCGGTGATCTTGTGTGTGTATGTGTGTGTGTGTGGTGACGTGTGTATGTGTGGGAGTTACAAACATCTGTGTGAATATACATGTGGGTTAATGCATGCGGAGGTTATGTATGTGTTTGTGAGGCAGTTATATGCATGTCTCTGTGTGTCTGTGTGTTTGTGTGAGTTTATGTGCGTGTGTAGTCTTCTGTTTGCTTGGGGGGGAGGATACCTGTGTATTTGTGTTTGAGGTATCTTTGTAGGGTCCAGAGCATAGTTTTAGACAACAAGCACCACAAGGAGGCACTCCAAAATTTGCTCATAAACTTTGTGGAGAATAATAGCTCTCCTCTAAATGTGGTCATGGATCCTGAGGCAACCCTCTAGACACAGGGTGAAAAGGTAGATATAAAAGAAGGTAAATACTTTAGGGGAACAATTCAGGGATCTGGGGGCAGGACCATTGAGAAAGTAGGGAGGTGTGAGGCAAGAGCAAGGGGGCGGGGAGGATGGGTGAGAAGGCGAGAGGCAGAAGTTTCTGGAGAGAGAGCAGAGTGGGCCCAAGCCCTGACACCCAGATGCCAGAGTCAGGCCTACCTTTGCACACTGGCCTGGCCTTTCACAGCTGTGTGGCCTTGGCCATGTTATTTAAACTCTCTATACTTCAATGCCCTGATCTGAAAATGGAGGTCATCAAAGTAAGGACTACACGCCATCCACTGTGAGAATGCAGGCTAAGTGCCCCGTGCATAGTAAGTTCTCAAGAGATAGCAGCTGTTACTACTGTTAGAAATAACTCTTGTGACATATCATCCAAGTCAAGCTAAAATAGAAGGGTGAGGGTACCTGGGTGGCTCAGTGGTTAACGCCTCTGGCTTCAGCTCAGGTAATGATCTCAGGGTCCTGGGATTGAGCCCCACATGGGGCTCCCTGCTTGGCAGGGAACCTGCTTCCCCCCTCTCTCTGCCTACCTCTCTGCCTACTTGTTATCTTTGTCTGTCAAATAAATAAATAAAATCTTAAAAAAAAAAAAAGGGTGAAACTGTACCAGTGACTTCGGCAACACACGCCTGCTCCACAGGCTTGCCGAGTACCCCTCCTTCCCAGCCCCCTCTCAAGGCCTTCTGCCCCACAGACACCCACAAACCCTCAGTACTTCCACTTCTGCTGTTCCTAAATGTCTGGAACCCTGGGGCCCCTGGCCGTCATCTTCTCCAAAAAGTAAAAAAGTCATCTGCTTCATAAACAAGAAGAAATCCAAAAGTGAAAATGCAGAGGAACTAGCAATTCCCTCATCACAAGTTCAAGATTAATTTGTTTACAAGTCTGTGAAATCAGAAGAAACAAACAAGTGGTAAAGACAGACCAAACTGACCTACGGAAGGATAGGAAGGAAAAAAATCACCAATCTGGAACATAAATCATTAGAAGTTTTTTTTAAGATTGTATTTGTTTATTTGACAGAGAGAGAGCACAAGCAGGGGGATGGGCAGAAGGAGAAGGAGAAGCAGGCTCCCCACCAAGCAGGGAGCCCCATGGGGGACTTGATCCTAGGATCTGGGATCATGACGTGATCCCAGATCACATCGCCTAACCAACTGAGCCACCCAGGCGCCCTAGAAGATTTTTTAAGATACCAGAGCAAAGCTAGGATAAAGCTTTTCTTTCCAAAACCTTTGGTTAAATATAAGAGCTAATGTTCACATCTCAAAGGATTGGCTCTGGAGACTCCGGCTCACGACTTGGCGGGGAAGGGCAGAAAGCTAGGGGACGGCTGTGGGGCTTGAGGCTGGGGTTACTGCCTCAGGCAGAAGCTGTTTGGACCAGGGGAGTGGAGGCCCCAGCTGCTGAGACAGAAGCAGAGCCAGGAATGGCTGGGACCGCACGCCTGGTCACAGGATCAGAAACAATGAACTGAACCAGGAGACCCATTAGCGGGACCTGCAAACCTCTTGGCCTTTCTGAGCCACCAGCCTCTTTGCGGCTGTGGCAGTAAGCAGGAGTAGCAAAAGAGGTGTGCCATCTGACGACAGCAAGCCCTGGTGTAAAAGGGTGAGGCTGTTCTGGAAGAAAATTCTGCCAAGCGCAGAGATCATAAAATGTGGAATAGGGCTCTGCTGTTTATGCTTTATTGAAGACAACCATCAGAAGCAGAACTGGCCTTGTTTCAGAATCTGAAAAATCTACAGGGCAGAAAAAGGGGACCCAAGCGTCTTTTGGTGATTTCAAAGCTTAACCTAAATGGAATGAAGTCTGAAAGGACAGGCGGGTTATGACCCCAAAACTGGAGACAAGGAGAGGTTTTTAGAATTAAAGATGGTGTATGCCTACACAAATTTTTGAGAGGTATTTTCTTTTCTTTCTTTTTTTTTTTTTTTTAGATTTTATTTATTTATTTGACAGAGAGAGAGAGAGAACACAAGCACAGGGAGCAGGAGAAGGAGAAGCAGGCTTTCTGCAGAGTGGCGCTCGATCCCAGGACCCTAGGATCATGACCTGAGCCGAAGACACATGCTTAACAACTGAACCACCCAGGTGCCCATGAGAGGTATTTTCTTTAAAACATTGTTTTGTCCCCTCAATACCATGAATTATATGTCATTGCTATATGTAACCTGCAGCAAACTATAGGAGTGTTACCTACAGTGGAAGGTTTACAGTGCTGGTTATACCACTTCTAGAGAAGGTAAATAAGGTTCTCTGATCCCAGAGTTTAGAAAAATGAAATACTAATTGCTAAAGTTTATTGAGAATTACTATATTTACTATCTAATCCTTGCAGTGATCTTATAAATTGCTACCTCTCCTTGACCAGTCAGGGCACTGAAACACCAGGGGGGAGGCTGCTAACTTGCTCAAGGTCCCCAACTGGACTTGCAAGTTCCCACCTACAGCCTTCCCTGGCAGCAAGGAAACAGGAGGTCTTCAGGGTGATGGAGAGCCACTGGTGTGGGAGAGTGCCCCTCAAGACAGAAGGGCAGATCCCTGGAGGAGAGCCCAATTCCCAAAGATGGAACACAGAAACAGATATTATCAGGCATAAGATAATTTTTCTAGATACTGGGAGCTTGTGCTTTAAATAGCCAAAGTTTTTCAGGAAGCAAAAAATTAGCTCTTTCAAGGAATTGTGTGATTTCAGAAAAAAAAAAAAAAAAGAATTCAAAAAAAAATTCTTTTTTTTTTTTTTAAGATTTTACTTATTTATGTGACAGAGAGATCACAAGTAAGCAGAGAGGCAGGCAGAGAGAGGGGGGAAACAGGCTCCCTGCTGAGCAGAGAGCCTGATGTGGGGCTCGATTCCAGGACCCTGAGATCATGACCTGAGCTGAAGGCAGAGGCTTAACCTACTGAGTCACCCAGGCACCCCCCACCAAAAAAATTCTTAACATCTATGAGCTTAATGCCTTTATCTCCAATAAGGGAAGAGTAACATGTTCTTCTTACTAAGATTTTTACCAAGTAAGTTTGTGTGTGTATGTTAAATAATACAATAATACACATGAAAATATCTCTCTCACCTTTTCTTTTTTTTGGGAGAGAGAGTGCACAAGATGTGGAAGAGGCAGAGGAGGAGAGAATCTTAAACAGGCTCCATGGTCAGCATGGAACCCCATGTGGGGCTCAATCTCACGACCCTGGGATCATGACCTGAGCTGAAATCAACCCTGGGATCATACCATGACTAAGCCAGTCAGGCTCTCCCAAACTAGACCATTTAAACGCAAAGACAAAATCCCTAGAGCTACAGACATTCTTGCCCACCTCTGTTTAGAAGAGCACTGCAGATTTCTTTGGGGGAAGAGAAACAGTTTCCAACCTACTTAAAGAAGGCGTACCCTACTAAAAATGAAGATAATATTGAAATTTTACACACTTAACAAGACTTTTCCCCTACTAGTCTCCCTGACATCAGCAACCAGCTTCATACCCACAGTGAAGAAAAGGGAAAAGCCTTCCTCTGGGCCCTTCACCAGCCCCTGACAATAGCCCTATAGATACAGACAGGGACTTGCCAGATCACTTTATAGCACAAGGAATGGCCAACAACTACCCCTCCCCCAAATACACAGAGCTTGTAGCATCCTTTTATTACCCCATTCTTTTTTTTTTTTTTTTTTTTTACTCATTTGAGAGGGAAAGAGACAGTGACAGAGAACAAAGCGGGAGAAGAGGGAAAAGCAGGTTCCCTGCTCAGGCGGGTCCCGACCCTGGGATCATGACCTGAGTTGAAGGCAGAGGCTTAACCGACTGAGCCACCAGGCGCCCCTACCCCACCTGGCCCACTCTTAAATATAAGCAGACATCCAGGAGCTGCTACACTTGAGGTATGCTATTTTATGACAGAGCAAAAAGTATCTTGAAGGAAAGAGAATGGGAGAGAGAAGAAAACTCCATTTAATATATTAGTGTCGGAGAGGTAAGAGAAGCTGTCATACCTATAAAACAAGGACAGGATGTTATAAAGAAGGGAGAGTCAAAGAGTGAAAACTCAATTCCGCACAAATAATGGAGAGTAAGAATGAAAAACTACAGAAAAGTTGAATGATAAAATTAACATCTTCCAGAAGGCAGAACAAAAAGACAAAGAAAAGAAAAAGTGGAAGGAAAAGATTTATTTATTTATTATTATTATTATTATTATTTTTAAATTTATTTATTTGAGAAAGTGAGAGCATGAGTGGAGGGGCAGAGGGAGAAGGAGAAGCAGACCCCCCCACTGAGCAGGGGGCCTGACACGGGACTTGATCCAGGGACCCTGGGATCATGACCCAAGCCAAAGGCAGATGCTTAAATGACTAAGCCACCCAGACACCCCGGGAAAGGATTTTTTTAAAAGGATAAGCAGCTGAAAAAAATCAAAGGTATGAAAACATCATG